TGAATGTAGACTTGATGCATCAAGGAGACCAGAAGGTGAAACAACATCCAAACACTAACAGAGTAACATGAGCTATTGTCCCCCCCGAGTCTGAAGATGTCTCCCACAGCATCCCCATATATCTTCCTCTACTTGTGTCACCCATTCTAACAGCTCATCAATGAATGGCTAGAATTGCTGTCACTCTCTATGTTACATGTAGGTGCTCACATCCTGTTAGATAGTTCAATCTAAATATGCATTCCTAAACCACATTGTGTCCTCACGTCTGGACACTGGTGGAAAACACAAAAGAGTGGAAGTTGGTGTCTCTCTGTCTGGGACATCTGAGTTAGATATGAAAGTCTCTAAGTGTAGACACTACAATGTACTGTTGGTTGGTCCTTTATCTACAACCTGACCTTGGGTACTGCTTAGAGAGAGAAGGGAGTATCTGTGGAATTAGACAGGCACTGTTTCCTGGAAAGTTCCACATTCTTCCTCACCACTTGAACATACTCCAATTGAAGATTATGTATTTGGCAGAAAGCCCCAAGATAGAAACTAGATGGATTTAGTTGTGAGAATATGTTTGAGTGTTACTTTAATCCACATTTTATCTCTCCAGCTGTACAACTAACCCTTAGTTGGGCATCCTTCAGAATTTTTTAATCTCAAGTTTCACAATAAAAACCAACAACAAGCTGATCACACAGACCCACCACACACACTGACAGCTCCAGCTTTTAGCCAAACACACACGCACACACACTCACACAAACACACACACACAATACTATCATAAAATCCGACACTTTACTGAGGATCTTTTAATGGATAGATTTTAAGATTTGTAGATAAGAGTTTAAAATGGACTATAAGACTACAATAGTTATTTGTGCTCCACGCACTTATTAAAGCAAACTAAATCTCTCGTGATCTCCCTGATCCAACACACCTCCACACTCAACCCTCTCCCCCCTCACCTTCCTCTTTCTGACCAGCTCTCCCTGCAGGTGGTTGATCTGGAGGAAGGAGCCGTTGGAGTTAATGGCGCTGATGGGCCTGACCGCCCGTACGGGCCTCCTGGTTGGCCTGGGGAGATCCTTGATTTCTTCCGTTACCCCATTCCCGAAACGACTGCCTCGATTGACATTGCTACTGCTCATGGAGAAGGACTTATACAAACTGCCGTCCAGCGAAGATGTCCCAGCTGTCTGCAGGTCCGTGTGAGATTTGGCTCTGAGCGACATTTTAAAGCTGGATCAGAGTTGTGCGCTTCACCGTCACTGCGATGATGCTGAGAGAACAACACCTTGAATGAAGCTCTCAGTTTCTTGTCGAGTTCATGGGGTGGATCCAGTCACCAACTGAGCATTATTCATTATTCATTAGGTAATGTGATAGGACAAACCTGTGTAGGTTGGAGGCAAACAGTCTCTGTGTTTTGGTAGGAGGACTCCTTTTGTCTTTGATGGCTTTGAATGAGGATTTTCACATGAGATTTTCAAATAGATCAACAATAGTGAAATATTCAACCCTGCAATAATGGTATGTTGAGAGGCAGGGACAAAGATTTGATGGGCTCCTCAGGTAGACAGAGCAGTGAAGACAAAGAGGTGCAGGGTCAGGTCAGCTGTTACTGAGACAGGAAACTACTGTAGGATGTCTTTTGTTGCACCTAAAAGACAACATCAGTGTCACTGTGAATTTATATAATCCTCTGGAGGTTGTTGTTCTAACTTTGGTGTGTTCATGTGCTTTCAAGTCAGAATGAGGAAAAACATGGATGCTGTGAAAAAGATGTTTTATATTTAGAGCATGTGCATTGTAACAAGCAGCATAGGAAAAGGATCAGGTGTGACACACAAATATAAATCCTGTATCTCTATTGGCTAAACATTTTGGGCACTGATGGACATACACAGTTACAAGAGTGCAACATATTCAAGTTCACATTAAAAGCTTTTGTTAAGAGATGATTGAAAAAATGTTAATTGCTTCATAAATTATGATGTCAGCAACTCATTAACCAACATTTTTACTGACTCTCCGAATTGTCGTTCCATCATCAGGTGGCGTTAACGTGAATCTGCCCAACCGGGAACACATTTTTCAGAGTATTGCAACATCACACCGCACAATCAGTCGTACTTCTTTGAAAGCCAGATACAGGCAATGAGTGAGGAACAAGTCCTTTGCTATTATTGCTTTGTTATTTGAAAAGTGTGGGAAGCCAAAGATAAGGATATCTTTATTTATGTATTTCAAAAGACATGACTGAGAATAAGTGATCACGTCATTGACCACAATCTTAGCTAAGTACATTTGGATACAGAAAGGCCTCAGACAATCACCTTTTGTCCCCGAAGGCAACATTCTGCAATGTTGCTGTCTGACAGAAAATCGCTGCACTTTCATCACTCAGTTATGCTTTTCCCTCATGTTGAGTGAGATGAGACTTGCACTCCTCTTGACCACGGAACTGTGACCAATTAGTCTCTCCTCCACGCTCTCTCTCTTTTTTACAGCCTGACTCCAGTTATCCATGCTGCAGCCTGAAGCAGGCAGGAAGGCCCATTGTTCACATCACATTTACTGAGTCAGGAAAGAGGGATATGTTGAACTCCCTCACCTTCCGCACCACTGTATATCATAACATCCTTGCTGTCAGAAAGTGATGATTAAATGAACACAAATACTTCAGACTGACAGGGAAGAGCAGCTCTCATGCCGACGGACCTCTATCATTTCCACATTTAGGTTTTCCTAATGCTGGGTTGCAGAGATTAGAGAGGTATGCAGGCTTTTGAGTGAAAAAGAGGCTGGAATCCCTGGAATGAAAACAGTGTGAACTGTTAAGCACTTCAGTGAGCTAGGAATATTGAGGGTTGATCTGAGGGGAGTGCACTCCAGTCTGGACATCCAAGCAGCGGTTAACATTGCTCATTTCATCTAATGTAAACTTAAAAGTCCATGAATAAATCCATTATTGAGCCCTTTTATTAAAGCTCTGAGAAATGTTTGCATCAATAAAACAAATGAGAAATGATGTTTATTACTGATTTCCTGAGTTGAATTTTCTTTCCCGGGGGGCAGCTCCTCCCGTTCCTGTTTTTGTGCTAAGCTAAAATAATTGATGGCTGGCTGTGAAGTCAACTGACAGATATGAGAGTGGTACCAATCTTCTCATCCAACCTTCAGGAAGGAAGTTACTTTAGTTTTTATGTCTACTACTGATATTAAACCCTTCAAACAGAGCTCTGTTCATATTTAAGACCAATACATTGAAATGTAGCAGTGCATATTAACATTTATTTAACTGAATTAGAAATTAATACAAATACTAAAGTGGACCATTGCCCGCCATTGGCCTGTCCCAGTTTCCTACTAGTTTTGTTTATCTTGGTTTAAAGGTTATATATACATTATTTGCTGCCACTAGATGTCACACTAGCACCAGCATCACATCACTGAAACATTCGCTTCTATCGATTACACCTCCACCCTTCAGATGTGGCTGAAACAACCATGTCTGAGGAGCTCAGCGGTCCTGAGCCATTCGACTGGCACATGCGGTCGTGGTCTTATCCACTAGAAAACTCGAGAGACAAGAAGCCCACTACTTCACGAAACAATTCTGTCGCAGTGTGGGACAGCCGGGGCTGAAGAAGGCCTGTCTGAGGACATAGGTATTAATACACCTGGTATTAACATGTGGTTTTTGTGATCCAATCTCAAGTGCATGTCTGATCGCACTCAGATCGTATATATATATATATCAGATGTGTGAACACACACACTCAGAGCTGTCCACTTGTGATCGGATCGCAAAAACCTGGTGTGTAGGGGGCCACAGAGGCTCAGGAGGTAGATGGGGTCTTCTACTAGCAGGAAGGTTGGTGATTCCATCCCCGTCTCCCCCATTTCATGCACCGAAGTTTCCTTGGAAAAGATACGGAACCCCTGATTGACCCTGACGGCTGTGCCTGCAGTATGTGAGTGATGTGTGATGGAGAAATGGTAAATGGTCTGTAAATTTATGCTTTACATCACAGATTTTCCATTCACCCATTCACACACACATTCTTACAGTTAATGTGTTTTGTCACCTTTATCGAATCTGAAAGCTCAGTCAGGGAAAACGATATCATCATGTTAACAAATACAGCACTGGGTTTTGTGGGGCCTGTAACAATGAGTGAGTGGATGCAATGTCAACACAAACGATTAGAAGTGAATGTGCCCCACACACTGTCAAAGGTCTGGTCCCCGACTGTGTCACTAACGCTGAACATGAACACAGATCAAAGATGCTACGCCACTGACGCCATGTTGTTTCTGTTGGCTTCTTTGATGAGTGTCACACTGTTCTGATACAGTTTGAAGCAAAGTGAAGAAGTCTGAACTGTCTTTTTTCACACGTGGGGCTGTAGAAACATTATATGAAAAAAATATATTAAATAAAGGCAGCTTAATTGAAGAGTTAGAAGATTATGTAGAGGAGAAGAGGGAATGTCGTTAAAAGACAGAAGCACAGGAACAGCGTGTAGGAAGTCCCCTTTCCGACAGGACTGTCACATTTCTCTGCACGATAAATGCTGGCGAAGCAGAAAACCACAAAAAACACAGAGAAAAGCCACCGGTTTGATAAAGAAACAACCAGCTGCACATGACTGATCAGCTCACACTTATTACAACTAATGGTTCCTGTCACCCACCCTTAATATTTCCTGGAAATCCTCCTTGTTTTTATTTTGAACTCAGTTGGTATTTAATGAGTTACGAGTGTCCTACTTTATGTCCGATAATAAAAACAGCAATGTTTGGATCAAACACAGTGAGAGATACTGTCAAGGCCTCTCTGATGTGGATGTGAGTGTTATCTCGTTACAGGGCATCAAGCAGATTTGACCTTCACTTCCTGTTTCCTCTTCTCATCCACATCACATTTGTTAAGGGGCCTTTTCCCTGCATCTGCATTATTTGGTTTTTCACCTTCGCCCACTGCAGTTATAAACCTGCTTTTTAATACAAAACATGGCAAGACTTTGGATTTTGACTCAGTTTTTACTTGTGTGTTTTGCAGCCTCTTTTCTTGCCTCTGAATCCAATGTAATTAGAGGTAAGTGGGGTTTTTATTGCTGAAGGTTTTGACTAAACATTTGCACATTTATTTACTCGTGTATCTATTTATTTATTTCTGTATTCATTTATATTGCTGGTGTGAAAATGTTCATGTCACAATGAATACATGCACTTATTAAACGTTTATTTTAGAGTGGCTCTAAACTTCTGTGCTCTTTGTTGTTTTTCATGTGATAATCAATCTAAAGGTTAATTCTATTGTGTCACAGGCAAATCAAAAAACATCAGGAAAACATGAAAAATGTATTCATCACAAATTATCATTAGATAAATGCAGCAAATTTCTTTTTTTTTACACTTTTCATCTTTACCAGGAATTAAGCCTGTGCACATGTTTATTTATATTTGTGCCTATTTATTTTGTATCACCCATACATATACAATTTATATTACAGTACATAGTGATTTTAGAGCAAAATTGTATGATGAAATTATAATACAAATTACAGTAGACTACTTTTAAGACTAGAGAAATCAAATAACTTTGTATAATGTGATATTCTCCAGAATTTACTCCAGAATTAAGTTTGTTCTTTGGATCAGAACAGAACTGTAAAGCACATAGTATATGTGACATGTTGATGGTGCTGCATGCTTTTTTGTTTGTGCATCTTTGTACATCATTTCGGCAGCTCCTCAAAGTCCCAGGGTTGCCGGGGTCTTCATGCTCATTGAAGGAGGAAAGTACACGTTGAACTTCACATCTGCCAGAGCTGCCTGCATGTTACTGAACGTTACCATAGCAACCAAAGACCAAATGGAGCGAGCGGTGCAGCGAGGACTGGAATTGTGCAAGTAGGCTGAAAACACATGGTGACTGCTTGCAGTGATGCAGCTGTGAATACCTGCTAAGTGACTGGCTCATGTGCAGTGTTGAAGTTTTTATTGTGGTAAAATATTCCATCACTTCATCATCGTTCAATTATTCAAAACCATTTTGAACCATGTGCATTATGTCATATAAGTCAACAACACCAGCTGAAAAAAACACAAACACCCACCAATCCATCATCTGTACCACTTTACCCCCCAAGCGGTCCCTGCTTGTTCACTGCTTTGTAGTGCTGAAGATGCCTAACTGGTTGAGTCCTTCAGTTTTTTATATTACCCGATCAGTCACTGCAATAATTGGTCAGATCTGTTTCCTGTAAGTCCAGCATCTTGGGTGTTTTGAATTTGCTTTGTCACTAGTGCTTGTACCTTTTTTTCAGTGAAATCTTATAAGGTGAGGCAAAGACGTTTTTCTGGAGATGGATGATGTCTTAAGCAGAAATATTTATGAACTGCCAACATCAAATCTGACCTCACCTCACAAAAAAGCCTAAAAAGTCAGGGTGGCAGGATATCATTACACCTTATGGAATTGAAGCAACAATGTCAGTCCATCCATCCATCAATTATTAATTCTGCTTACTTTTGAGGTTGAACTGGAGCCATAGGCTGGAGCCAATGCCCGCTGATATTGGGGAGAGGTGGGGTACACCCTGGACAGGTCTCCAGCGTATCTCAGGGCCAAGACAATACCTAGCCTGCTAAATTAACTACAACAAAAACTAAAACAACAAAACAGATTTAAATCATAAAAGATATTCATAATCACAACCAACAGCACATTTTAAATTTGAATCAATTCTAATCTCCATATTTACTGTTGTCATAGTGTTGCTCAATTCATACGTTGACGTTGTTGTGGTTTAGTCCTCTGCATTGTCGCCACCTGGGGGACCGTTTCAACAATTTGGCTGTGGTTTACAAGAAAGCCCCTGGCATTTCAATCAGTTTTCAACAGTTCCATCATCATTTTGTAGTTTTCAGACTCAACCAAAGCTGCATGTGACATCACCTGAGGCAGTTGATCAGATTTCGCAGTTTAACCTGAAGCCAGAAAAATCTTTGTTTTTCACGTATACAGTTGTCGACTCCCCTCAGACCGTGTCTATAGACTTGGAGCTCCACCTTAAAATTAGTGTCAGTCACCTTACAAGTCTATTCATGGTGTCATCCACCCTTTATTTAATGTTTTAACAGATTTGGCTGGATTGCGGAACAGATCGCAGCCATCCCACGGATTATATCTGACAGGAACTGTGGCAAGGGCAAAACTGGGTTGGTGCTGTGGTCTACAAGTGTTGACAAAATGTTTGGTGTTTTCTGCTTCAATGCCTCAGGTACGGTTTATTTAAACCTACACAATCTAAGGTTTTATTCAAGATACATTTATTTATTAAACTTTGAAGAAAGCTCCCATCTACACCTTTTATCCCACCACTTGCAGATTCAGAGGAATCTCAGAGTACATCAAAAGCCGTCCCTCAAACCTTCACAACTCCAACCATGCTGACTTTGCTGACTCAAACCCCAACACCTACCACATCTACGGTTATATCAACAACCAGGGCTGCGTCTTCAAGAAAGCCAGAAACAACTAAATCCCCTGAGCAGACAGCTGCTTCTACTCTCCTGGTCGAGACAACACGTTCAACTAAGATTTCCTCCACCTACACTTCTCTCAAGCCTTTCTCCACCGATATTCCTACATCTCTCTCTCACCTCATCAGCTCAAAACCAACAGTCCACACTGTTGCCTTTTCTACTTCTGTCTCCGTCGCGCCTCAATCTAAGAACTCTGCAAAAACTTCTCTCGGAGGTATGGCCTTATCTTCTTTCATCTTTTGATTTTCATCTTTTGGTGGCTGTAACTCTTGTGTAATAGTTTTAGAAGAAGGGGCTAAATATGATTTAACTTGCCAAAGAAGCTCAGGGGGTTGAGTGGGGAGGGATGAAAAACTATAAATTATATTGCACTTCCTATACTCACCCATCAGTTCGAGTCAAGTGTCTTGTTGATATAAAAATGCAACTGATTCATTCTAAACACTTTAAAAAACATTTTACATATTTCTATTCTAAAATCGATCCTGGGGAGAAAAAAGCCTTAAAACTCTATTATATATAATGAACTAACAGTTGATTTGTATACAGGTATGTTAAGAAACACAAATGGTTAAAGGTTTTAGACACTTTTGTTTGTTTGTATATAGATTGTAATGGCAGGTAATGGAACTACAGTGATCAGCTGCAAAGTACTATGGTAACAAGCTGTGCTGCTGTACCATTGTTTAAATAATGCCCATTAACTGACCACTCATGCCCCACATCATAGAAATCACAGAATAGAACAGAGCGGAACAGAATTATTCCCTGAGCGTGTTAACATGAGCATCAGGATTCTGGTTTTGTTTTGAGCATGTAAACAGCTCAGTTTCAGGAACATGGATATCCCACCTGGAGTATTCTCAGCTACTTCATCCAGGTTTTTGAAACATGTGCAAGAGGCTGAAATGGTGAGAAATCGAGACACAACTGCAGGCGGACAATCACAAACCTGGGTACTGTTATCAGAGAATATATACAAGGAACATGAATAGCAAGGGTTATTCAAGTTCCACTGAAACTCCTTGTATTGAATATAAACAAATAGAGTATAAGCCTCAAAACCATAATGCTAATGCACATGAAAATGTGTGCAACAGTGGCGTGTAATCAGCAGATTGTGGAGAATAAATAATGAGAGTTTAAGTCAGTAATTGATACATTTCTGTGTATTTTCCAGTTGTGCTTCCAGCCCTCATCATAGTTGGCGTCATTCTCTTCCTTCTGACAGCAGCAGGTGCCATGTGGTACTACAAACTGTGAGTCATGTTTTCAGATGCCGTGCATCACTCTGATCCCTGTCTGAAGCATCTCTCCTTAAAACATGTATAACAATGATGTGGCAACAGAAAATAGGCTTCATTAATTAGGGATATAGAATAATGAATGTGGTTCCAACCTGGAGAGAAAGTGTTTGGAGTCACTTCTATCTTTAATTCTCATTAGGTCTGTTTTCTTTGCACACGTAAAACCAAGCTTTTATTACAAACTATGTTACAGGAGGTATTTTGACACTAGAACGATCTTACAGCCTCGTCAGTGTCTCTACTGAATTGAATGTCCTTTCAGTGATCAACATACAGTATGTGATCTTTCTAATATGATTATTTATCCTCTCCTCTTTTCTCAAAGGAACCCATTTTGGTCTCTGGGGCAGCAGAAAGACGACATAGAGACAGAGATGTGGAAGCATACAGACAGTGAGATGGACCTGCACAGTCAACACGGAGCAGAGGAGGAGGATGACTATGAAGAACCAGACAGGAAGTACTCCAGTGATATCACGCTGTGTGTGAATCCAGACATCAAAAATAACTTGTCAGAGTAGCTTCACCATATTTGTGAAGAAGATTCTCTAAAGTGAAATGAATGGACAATATAACCCAAATGTTTAAAATGAATGTTTAATACAGACTCGAGGATGGTTTGTCTCCTAAAGGGTTTGATTTGTTTCTTCGACTTTTCAATGTGACTGTAAATATGCACATACTGTACATCTATATCTATATATGAACGTTTTCCTCTAAAGGAGCTGCAGATACTCAGTCCATCAGTTCCTAAGGAGCACGTTTATAATTTTGAAATAAATCTACTTCAATTGTTCATCAAATGGTGCATTTCTTTTCATTAAATCAGAAGACATATGTTTCTGCGGTGGCCTGCATTAAAAATTACCATGTTTCACATTACCAGGTACAAATGCATAAATTCTACTTTTACAAAGTTAATAATGATCAGTTTTAACCAACACACTCAAAGACGTGTTTTTGCTTTAACATCAAATTAAAGTAGTTCCTGATGGTGTTGTACTGGAAGGTTTCTTAATCCAGCAAATGGGGGAGGGAGGAGTGCCCAGGGGGACCACCGCACCCTTGGAAGACCATGCGTTCCCCTATATTATTTGTTCTTTCTCCACTCACCCCAACAGGTCCTGGCAGAGGCCGTCCACACCGAGCTCTGTGGTTTCTTCCACCTGGGAGTTTTTCCTCCCCGCTGTGGCTCATGCTCGCTCGATGTGGAGCAATTTGGATTTTGTGTTTCTTAAGATCTTGGACCTTTTGTGCACCACCCTGAGACAACTGTTTGTTGTGATACCGTGCTATAGAAATACATTTGATTGATTGAAATGGGAACTAGCCAAAATAAGAAACACCTCTTAATGTAATGTAGTCCAGCATAAACCTTTCAACCTATGACACTCAGTAGAGTTCATTCCTCCACCCAGGCCCAACAGTCCCCTTACAAACTAACCATCTAACCATTATTAGATCCAGATTTGTATTTGGATCTCTATCCAATTGCACACACCCATAAATATCAGTCCCCTGATTTACCTTCATGGCAATTCTCTTAAGCAGTATAACTATTCCCTCTTAGCTATGAGCTTCTTGTCCCTCTCCAGTTTGGAAAGACCATGTTCTGGATTATAGTTCTCTCTCCTCTGTATTTGTTTGTATTGTCCTCATGCATATTCCCCACTTGCATTTGTGCCATGCAGAAGTTTCTCTGTGTTAACAGGTATTGAG